ATGCATTACCGTTGAAGATTCTACTTGCAATTCATATGCCATGTTGCATACCATACATATACCACTGTGGCTGTTAATATGTGTCTATTTACATCTATGAATCCATGTAAGGTAATTGTATACACAGACGGAAACTTAATCTTCTGCTTCCTGCTTCGTATCTGCTGCAACGGGCTTATCTTCAGGCTGCTCACCTTGCTCCGACCCCTTATTTTTCCATTCATCTAAGAATCGCTGGAGCTTGGGTGCCCACACACTCTCACCGGCTTCCATGTCTGAATACTCGATAGTCTTTTCAGGTGATAGTTCGAAGTCTCCTTGTCGTGTCCTTACTAGCTCGCTCATAATAGCATTGCTTCCAACGGCAAGTCCTAAATCATGAGACAGAGACCGGACATAGAACCCTGAAGACACGGTCATTGTCAATTTTACGGCTGGTGGTTTTGGTGATGGTTCTGTCTCCGCTGCAGGTGTTGTAGGTGGTAACTCTTTGTCTTCGGCAGTGGTAGTTTGCTCCCCTTGAACTTCAGAGTCCAGCTTCTGCCTCTTCGCTGGAAGGCTTGTTCCCCCTTCCTTTGTATCTTCTTGTGGTTCATTGTCTGCCGTGTCTGGTAGAGGCGGAGTTTTCCTTTTTTGACTCGTTCCCTCCTTCTGGTCTAACGTTTCACTTGCGACGGGATCATTTGTAGAGTTGCTGGCAGGCTCAGCTTCCAGAGTTGAACCCTTTGCTAGCATTTTCTTCGCAATGTCCTTCTCTGGCCCTTCGGCTTCTTCCGTAGGCCACACATACTTATGGGAGCCTCCATCATACCACTCCACAATTTCGAGGTTTGAAACCTCAACCGGTCTTTCTAATATTTCAGCAGGTGGCTCCTTGCCTTCTCTCGCATATTCATATAGTTTTTTTCCATTGACCTTCAATGCCGAGAATATAGATGGCCTTTGCATAATCTTGCCGCGGAATTGCTTCAATGCCTCTTCAACCTTTTCTCTTGTGACATGCTCATAGAGTGCACGGCTAATCACTTTCCCGACACGATCATAGCTGTCCGTTGCTACACCGAAGAGAACGACGGCTTCGTATGTTTTTGTGCACGCAAGGAAGTTATTGAGCTGCTTGGTGCCTTTGCCAACTGCCGTTATCAAGACTCCTGTCGCAATTGGATCTAGAGTTCCACCATGACCAAGCTTGACATCTATCCATTTTGACTTCTTTCCTCGGCGACGGTTCTTCCAAGACGGTTCTTCTTGTAATCTCTGTCGCTCGGCCGCTAGCCACGGTTTGAAGAAATCGGATCTGTTGAACTGTCTTTGGAGGTCACGGAGGACTTGCGCGGAGGTGATATCTGCGGGCTTATGGACAGCTATACAATCATACTGTCAGTAGCGATCTCAAGGGTCTGATTCTCATAGATAGTAAACTGACCAAAGACGCCGTCCATAGTTCTGGCGGCGTCAGACATTGCGAACTTAAGCTTCGAATTCAGGCGGCGAAAGCTCATCGAGGAAGGGATTTCCCGTGGGTAATATTGTTACAGCTTGTTAGAGTCAGTAACATCCCCGATATCTGTCAGAAAATGCAGATACACCGTGTAATTGGCACCGCGATGACAAGTTTGGAAGTTGAAAGCTGCAACTTTCCTTGAAGCTTTGAGAGTTGAACTTGGAAGGTTTAGTTTTGTA